CTAATTTCCTATAGTATCATAACAGATTTTATAGATTTTTTTTTTAGTCAAGCAATAATAAATGTACTGTGAGTGTTTGCCATGTGCCACTGTACTTTGCATGTGCTTCACATCATATCCCACTTAATCTTTGTAGCTGTCCTCTATTGTAAGCACTGTTTTATGTAGGCTGCAAGTCCGCTGTAGCTTTGCCACAGGTTACAGCTCCACTCTGTGTGATTTTTTTATTGCAGAATCCGGGCTAAAGGAGTAACCCCCACCTAAGACATGGTCTTCTCACCATGGAGGCTGAACCAAAACATTCAGACGCTTCTTAAAGCTTCTCCTGGACCTAGTCTGTGTTACATTCACTCACTTTCCACTGCCCAGAGCAAATCCCATGGCCAATGTCATAGTTACTCCTTCTAAAAAGGAGGGGTGGATAATTACATGGAATCGTGTAATGTACATCAGATGAGAATAAATCTGGAGTGTTTCAGACCCAGAAAGAAAAAAGGCTCAAGGAGAATAGGGAATTTTAGTCTGTTCGGCTCACTCTTGTATCCCAAGCAGAAAAGTGCCTTGCACAAGATTAAGGATTCAATACATATTTGCTACCTGCATGCATGAAAGCCAGTGTGGTCAGAGGATAAGGGAGACGTGAGATTGCAGTCACTAGCAATCCATGGGTTGGCATATAAGGGGAAGCTTAATTTCACCCTGCCTTAGAATTTGGTTTTCCATCAGCTCTTCCCCTGGCTATCATTCCAGATGGAGGAGTTTGACGTTGCGTGCCTTCAGCTCTGCTGTACATGCGGGGGGTCTGCACCTTCTCTCTCTCAGCCTTCCCATTTAGATGGACTTGTGTGGACTGCTGTGCCCTGGAACCCCTCCCCTTTTCTAAGGATAGCAGCTCCTCCTGTTTTTTCTGGAAATGCTCTTTTCCCCATTCCAATCTTATGTTTCAGTAGGACTAGTATATTTAGAAAGATATTATCCACGGCATTGACAGGTTCTAGCTTAGGGAGCACACCTAGAGGGGCTGGAGTCAGGTCTGTACCATTTTTTGATTGAGTAGTAAGTACATTAAAAAAAAAGGCATCAAAAAAGAAAAAAGCATCATCGTTTGACTGCATCTCTACTTCTCTCATGACCTTACTCCACACTGCCCTCTCTAATATCATTCATCATAGTCTTAATAGGCATATTAACATAGTACTTGTCAAGTTGGGGGAAATGGCACAGCTGATTAACCAACACTAGGCCATTCAGAGCTCTTCCCTAGAATTTTTGAAGTAGAACCAGAGAAAGCAACTCTTAGGCCCTCTGTGGTGGTGAAATTAGGAGGCACGGCTGTGTTTTGTCTCCTTTGGAGAAAAGTAGATTCAGATTGCACAGAAAGTAGATGAAGCAGAACCCTGGTAAGGTTCAAGTTTCTAGTTTCAAGTTACCCCTGAGGCTGGCTCCACTTCTTACCTTCCCATGGAGACATGAAGCTTTCTCATAAATTCCTCTTTTCTCTGTTCAGATTGAGTTTCTGTCTGTGAAGCTAAGAGATCTGAGTCGTATAGTTTTGGAGCTTCAGAGGCATCCATGTGCTTGTCTGTTTCTTACCCTTCAAGCTAGGAAAGAGTGTAACAGAGTTTGGTTTTAGTCAGGTTGAGGAACAGTAAGGTTTCTTGCCAGCTCTCAAACTGGCAATGTATCAATAAATTACCTTTCCAAAGGGAAAGATGCACGAAGTTTCTTTTTAAAATAGATCTGTATTCAAATTTAAAAAGACATTTAGGAAGTGGTATAAGTGTTAAGGAATGAAGGAAAATGATACTAAGAGTCTGTGGTTGCTAGAACATCAAATATCAAATTATATATATGTATATACACACTCATAAATATATCTTTTTTTAACATTTTTCATTGATTTATAATCATTTTACAATGTTCTGTCAAATTAGAGTGTAGAGCACAATTTTTCAGTTATACATGAACATATATATATTGTCACATTTTTTTCTCTGTGAGCTACCATAAGATCTTGTGTATATTTCCCTGTGCTATACAGTATAATCTTGTTTATCTATTCTGCAGTTTTGAAATCCTGCCTATTCTTTCCCACCCTCCGCTCCCTTGGCAACCACAAGTTTGTATTCTATGTCTATGAGTCTATTTCTGTTTTGTATTTATGCTTTGTTTGTTTTTTTGTTTTGTTTTGTTTTAGATTCCACATATGAGCGATCTCATATGGTATTTTTTCTTTCTCTTTCTGGCTTACTTCACTTAGAATGACATTCTCCAGGAGCATCCATGTTGCTGCAAATGGTGTTATGTTGTCGGTTTTTATGGCTGAGTAGTATTCCATTGTATAAATATATCACTTCTTCTTTATTCAGTCATCTGTTGATGGACATTTAGGCGGTTTCCATGTCTTGGCCATTGTAAATAGTGCTGCTGTGAACACTGGGGTGCAGGTGTCATCCTGACATAGGGTTCCTTCTGGATATATGCCCAGGAGCAGAATTCCTGGGTCATACGGTAAGTCTATTCCTAGTCTTTTGAGGAATCTCCATACTGTTTTCCACAGTGGCTGCACTAAACTGCATTCCCACCAGCAGTGAAGGAGGGTTCCCTTTTCTCCACAGCCTCTCCAGCATTTACCAGCCTTTGATTGATTTTTCTATGGTTTTTTTAATCTCTATTTTTATTTCCTCCCTAAGCTTTATAATTTCCTTCCTTCTGCTGCCTTTTGGGGTTTTTTGTTCTTCTTTTTCTAGTTCTCTTAACTGGTGGGTT